GGTTGTAGTCAGTGGAGTGCAGAGCATGCCGGCAGTGCCGAAGATGCTGCGGCGCTGTCCTCCCCTCCTAGCTCAGGTTGCAGAGCAGCACTGGGCTGCGACATAGGCCACGGAGGGATGTTGTGTCCTCCCCAAACTGCCCTGCATCTTTGCTGAGCCTCTTCTTTTCTCCTCTTCCAGCCCTCACAAGCAGGAGTACCTCTGCTTTGGTAGCAGGGGAGCATGGGGGAAACTCAGCTGCAGCCCTCACTGCACCCCCTGGCTTGGGGACCCTGAGGCTTGGGCTTTCCATAGCACCATAAGCGCCAACCTCGCATTCTGTTACATTTAGAGTGGAGCTGACCATGAAGCTGAAGCTTCCCAAGTAGTTTGAAGAAGTGTCTGGGCTGGTTGCTCAAAGGTTCCCATGAGCTGGAGTCAGCAGCTCCTGGTGCCTGGCAGGGCTGATCTGCTCTGGTGGGGATTATCCTTGTGACGCTCTCATTAAGGGGTCTTTAATGGAAATTGCTGGGGAAAGGAGCTCGGGAATGTCTGCAGCCATCATAATGCAACATCACCTGTGCCAGCGGGGCCAGAGCAGGGGATCTGCCACCACCTATGATCACAAGCAGTACAGACCAACTTCGACCAGCTCAGGTGGACTGGGGACCCCAGGCAGGGGGCCTCTGCAGTGGAGGCTGTGCTTGACACTGGCTGGGGGCCCCAGGGTTGACAGAGGTGACCTCGGGCTGCAGGGCTTTGGCATGAGGGGTGACTGGTGAAGAAGGCCAGCAGGTCTAGACCTGTGTGTGCTGTGCTGCGACTGTCCCTCTTGTGCCCCCGAAACCCTTGACCTTTTTTGTTGCAAAGGTTGGGGTCCGGATGGCCCTGCAGCCTGTGGCTTTCCATCTCTTGGCAGCAGGAGCAGCCAAGCTGGTGACGCACCCTGCATTGCCAGGGAGACGCCATGTTGCCGGTGGCTGGTGGCCTTGGTTCACGCAGCCTCACAGCTCATGCCAAGGCTCTGGTGTCCCTTGGCACGTGATAATACAAGACCATGCTTTTATCTCTCGGTTGGACTGGGGCCCCCAGGCAGGGAGCCTCTGCAGGGGAGGCTGTGCTTGACGCTGGCTGTTGGCCCCAGGGTTGACAGAGGTGACCTCGGGCTGCAGGGCTTTGGCATGAGGGGTGACTGGTGAAGAAGGCCAGCAGGTCTAGACCTGTGTGTGCTGTGCTGCGACTGTCCCTCTTGTGCCCCCGAAACCCTTGACCTTTTTTGTTGCAAAGGTTGGGGTCCGGATGGCCCTGCAGCCTGTGGCTTTCCATCTCTTGGCAGCAGGAGCAGCCAAGCTGGTGACGCACCCTGCATTGCCAGGGAGACGCCATGTTGCCGGTGGCTGGTGGCCTTGGTTCACGCAGCCTCACAGCTCATGCCAAGGCTCTGGTGTCCCTTGGCACATGATAATACAAGACCATGCTTTTATCTTGACCTTGCGCATGGCAACCATGCCTAAGTGCAAACCTGGCGAGGCCTCCCAGGGCGCTGGGATGCCTCTGCCTCTTCCGGTGGCCTTGGCCAAAAGGGAGGGAGCAGCGGCTGAACAGCAAGGGTCCCGGAGTGGGACCCTCACCCCTCCACAGCAGGACACCCCGTGGTGGCACCTGCAGTGTGTGAGTAGGTTATCGCCCTGATTGGGCGGGAGGTGAAGGTGTGCATGTGCCCTCTCTCGCTGGGCAGGGGGCTGCAGTTAAAGCAGTCTGTCCCCCTGGTGGGGCAGCGGCCGTGACGGTGACCCACGCAGCACGTGTGGGGGCAGAGCCCTGCAGGGCTGGCGTGGCTGGCCAGGGCAGATATGGCGGGGCGGGAGATGGGGCAGCCCTGGGGCCGGCGGAGA